ACTCCCGGGCCGGTCCGTGGCCCTGCCGGCGAGAGACCTGCTCTCTTCGTCGTCCCCGCCGCCGCCCGTCCTCCTGCTCGTCTGCAGACGCCGGCTCTGCTGGCTGCCCGTGGGTCCGGGGCCTCAGGGGGGTGTGGGAGCTGCGGGATGACTGCAAGGCGGTAATGGGAGAGGTCCCTTTGCCTCTACGGTCGGGGCGTGATGCAGGCTTAGAAAATGCTCGTTTACTCATCATCCACCGTGTGTTTGGTGTTGGGAAAGTGTTAACTCGGAGGCCTTAACTCATCCCGTTCTTTGTACAAACTGAGGCATTTAATGTCTCGGTGACAGTGTTGATCATGCTTGCAGGAGCGTAGTTACGGGAGAACCTTTAACAAGATGTATTTTATTTGCAGTCGTGCTGACTTGTTTCTTTTGGGGGGAACAGGGTTACAGTTCTAGCTGAAGAAACAAACCGATCTACATGTGCTTCACTATCCATTGGAAGAATGACAGATGACAAAGATGTACTTCGAGATGTGTGGTTTGGACGAATACCAACTTGTTTCACTCTGTATCAGGATGAGATAACTGAAAGGGAAGCTGAACCTTACTATGTGAGTATAACGAAGGTAGTCACAGATAGTCCAATGCCATAGTTACGTTTGTTTCCTTCGTTCTCATCATGTGTGCTACTACATGTTGTGGAAGAAAACCCCCAGCTTGTTTCTTCTTATTCCTGGTACGTTCTGAAAGTAAACCATATGACCACTCTGTGTGATTCGCCTCTCTTCACAGCAGGTTCAAAACTTTAAGCTTGTTTCACCAGTGAGATAAAATTATCACAGATAATTAAGATCTTAAAAAAAATTATGAAAAAGTCAAAAAGTAATTAGCTAAAAGGAAGAGGCTTTACATGTACTCATGGTGAGTTTGTATGTTCTTGGATAATGACCAGAAGAAGGGAGAGAAATTGTATGTTACCTTGCTGCAGAAATAACTTCAGTCAGAGCTTTGTGCAATCTTAAACACTAAGATCAGTCACATGCGTAACACAAACTCATAATGAACACTGGCTCATGGACTTTTCTGCTCATGGACTTTTTCTGCTCGTTTTCTTTTCTTTAAGTGCTAGCAGCCATGAGAGAGCTAGCTCGGATGTAGGACAAGCACCTATAATGTCTTAACAGTACAGTGCCTGAACTGGATTGCTAGCTGATGATAAAAATGAGGGTGAGATGGATATATTTGAGTTGTAAACTGGAAGGGCCTTCTATAATCGTGTGGTATTTATTTATAGCGTGCTCGGCAGTTTTCATCCTTTCAGCACCTAATAGGCATTTGATTGATAGAGAATGTTAACTGATTCAGTGAAACTTAAATTTGAAATGTGACAAGTATGTGGGAGGAAAATCTTGTACTATGAGTTTTCACGTGATTCTGAAATCCTTAAATCTTGTCATATCCCATTCTACTCTTTTTGAAAATATGACTGGGTAGAAATTTTTTTCTTCTGTGTTTAATAGCATCTTCATGTCATCAGTTTCTGATTTACATGTGTGTTCAGTGGGTTTTTGAAACCTAATAAAGCATTAATGCTTTTTGTTCAGTGATGATAGTGCTTATCTTTCTATGGTTTAGTTTCACCACTGGAAAAACAGAAGCATTTTTACTTCATGTGGTTGACCTATTGCCAAATGCATTTGAGCTATCTAGAAGTCTCAGACTTCAAATTCTATATATTTTTTTAATATAAATATGATTTAAAATATATATGTATATATTGCATAAATGTTACATGAAAGGTATGAGTTTAAGTACGAAGACATGCAGTCTTGATCTGTTTAAAATCTGATGTTGATGTTAACATCTTAACGTAAGATCAGCATGGAAACCCCGAAACCATGTTATCTTCGTGGTGTGGGCAATTTTCTAAGTCAAGGAGATAGTTTTAAGCTGGTAGGGTTTCTTTTATTTACTCCACTTAAAGTGTGCACAAAAATTCTCAAGGCTTAATTCTCTATTTCTGCAAAATGTGGTTATTCACAGATCACAGTTCTAAAATTCTAGCTTCTTCCTTTTTCAGGTCGTGTTGGAGCTGATAATATAGCCTTGCTTCTTGAAGGGACCAAGGATTTATAATAGTAAAAGGTAGAAGAGCAATCAAGGTTTTAACTCGTGGTTTAGTTCTCATGGTTTCAGACTGCATCTACGTTAATGTTTTTGTTCAGATCTGGAGTGCATTTTTGAAGCAAGTCTTCATCCTTTCCACTTACTGTGCCCAGGTTTGCATCACCTAGCAGTCTTACAGCCCACAAGCTGACTCATTTTCACATGAAGCTGAAGCAGAAAATGTGCTTCAGCTGCTAATGGACATTTAGCATATGGGATCAAACTGGAGCTAAATTGAAGTAAAAACCATCAAACTTCCCAAAACTGGAGTAAAAAAAAGTATATGTAGTGAACATTCCCAGCACTTGACACCAGCTGTTCAGCTTTACACGTCTCCTCTTGTCATATCTTAGTAGTTTTTTTATAGTACTTTTTAATATAGTTATATACCTCTGTATTCCAGACTGCCTTCCATAAATGGGAAGGCTGCATGGGAAGGAAATACTGGCATCATTATGTTAAGAGGGGGAAAAAAGCTTCTGCTCTGAGGAACTTGCTTTATGAAGATGGAGGAAGACATAGACCTGGAGGGTGAGGGGTTAGAAAAACAACCCAGAATCTGTGTGATGGATTTCAGTTTGTGAGTGGTGTGGCAGGAGACCCTTGTCTGTTAGATGTATTAGCACCGCACAGGAGTGATGCACGCGTGTATCACATTATGGCACTGCATGGGGCTAGCAGAGCTAATTTAAAATGAGCTTGTCTATCTTTTGGAAAGAGTAGTGACATCAAGACTAAGCGGCTCAGATAAAACACTGTGCTATTTCTTTCTGTAGTCAAGCCAGGTAGGTTTCTGCAGAGTTACACTGGAAACGGATACGTCAGTTTCCTTGGAGTGTTTCCTACAAATGCTTGTGTTTGGAGTGGAAGCATAATTAGGAATAGCTAGGTTGAACTACCTTTGTTGCTGAACTAGCTGATTTTTCCCCAGTCCTAAAATTGTTACGTTTTTTATTTTAAAATGGTGTACCGTCTGTCTCTTGGTGCAAACGACAGTTAGAGATAAAATGTGTACAGGAAGCAGAGTACTTGTTGGCTGGGACCTGTCAGGTGTAAAGAACAAAATTACAGCAGAAGGCAGCCTTAGAATGATACTCTGCCCGTGGGACTAGCCTTTACCGGGCCACTCTTTAAGCTTCCTCGGTGTCAAAAGGGTTGTTGTATTAAGATGTCTGTAACAGTGAGCAACATGAAGCCATTCCATGTTAGGATGCTTTGTTTCTTCATCCTGGATGCATTGGTGATCAGACCAGTCCAGTTCCTGTTAAATCTAGAATTTTTCTCTTTTATAATCTGTTTTGCATGTAAAATGCTGTTTTGCTTTGCAATAAAACCTGTGGAGATAGCTGCAGAGGTACTCTTTTTACACAAAGATATATTGCAAGCGTTTACTTAGGCATTAGGAGTTCCTTGCATTTCATTTGACCTCTACAGAAAGTGTTCCTGGTTATTGTGATTAAATACTGTAGCAATACACAATATGCAAAAGGAAGGTGGTGTTTGTGCAATTTTGGGGATGGCATGTTCTAGCCTAGTAGGATTTATTCTGCCTGGTAATGTATTTGGAGATTTACTTTTGTTTTCTTAATTTAGTGAGGAGAACCCCTAATCTTATTTGTGTGTGTGGCCCCGGTGTGGCCCCCCCCCCCTCTTTTTTGTATAGCTATTTTGAGCTATTTTGGTTTAAGCTGAGCCTATATGAATTGTGTGCATGTTTTTTCACAATTTCTTTCAAAGCTAGGGCTAGAAATTGTATCAAAAGCAGCTGATTATTGTTGTGTCTCGTTTTAAATCAAGAACTAGTACCTGTTCATTTTAAAAGGATTAAATAATTACTTTGAATTTGGCCATTGACTTAAGAATTGAGATGTGAATATGAATTTTAGGTATTTTTCATGTTATCAAGTGGTATTTTTTTTTAATTGTTAGTACTGAGCAATTTGTTTATCTTGTCTTTGTTACTCTTGCAATGGTCAGTCTGATCCCAACAGGTCATGAACATCTACTTGGCTTTATACCATGTACTCTGACTACTCTTGGGGAGTTTATGCCAGCTTTTTGTTTTTATACCGAGTGGGAGAAAACTTACACAACTGATTGCTGGAGGGAAAGGCACGCAGCCTCACTTAACATTGCAGGAATCCTTACTCGGTCTTGACACTTAAAAGCAATTCATCCACTGACTGCTTTAGACTTCTCTTGAATCTTCTTACAGGTCCGTCCTTTCTAGGGGACAAGACAGATGTGGCTCCTTCTGAGCCACAAAACTCAACTGAAAGTGGGGTTTTTCATTCAGGTTTCTTTATTAGGCAGCATAGCGAGCGGCAAGCATTATACTCGTCTGCCATTGATCAGTGGGCAGCATGGCAGTCAGTTGCCAGACAACTTGAATCAAAACTGGGATTCTCTTCTGTTTAATTCCTTATGTGTTATATCCTGCACTTTCCTATTAGTTATTTTCTCTCATACATTATTTAAATTGGTAACTATTGAATCTATGCTAAATATGCACTCAGTCTATTCATTAAAAACTTTGATACTACCTTGTCTGCATATTTGCCCATGCAGCACTGTAGGTCATTTAATTCATGATGGGCATTCTGTCTCTTAGCGTATTACGTAGTGATTTATCAGTCCTACATTCAGGTTGCAGTTGTTACATTACTTGAATTGCTGGATGTGTTTGATTTTCATAGCATTGTTCTAACCTTTAGCACAAAGTCTGCTGATAGAAGGTTGTTCGTCCAAAAAAAAAAAAAAAGAAAAAAAAAAAGAAAAAAGGCAATTGAGCGAATCTGACCTAGTGGAATGAGTTTAGCTTGGATTAGTATGTCTTTTCATATGATCGTGTGGTTTTTTCTTAATTAGGTTTTACAGCCCTAAACCAAGGATTACTCTTACCACCGAATCGTGACCTTTCATTACCAGCATTTAGAAGTATTGCTGTAGGGTAACCAAAGGCTGAAAGGGTATAGCCTCATTGGCCTGCACAGGCTGGTTTAGGAGTCAGTAGCAAAAGTGTGTGTGGGAGAGGTGGCATTGTGGTGAACACGGCTTTGCCCAAAAGGAAGGCTCCTGGCCACATGGCTGAAGTGTTGGAAAAGCTTGTGAGTGTCTAACAGTCTAAAAGGTGACCTGCTGTGTAGAATTCCGCTTTTCATATAGAGGCCTCTATAAAACAATTAACGTCATTCTGCTGTCAGAGAGATTGACTAAAGCCCAGCATATAGTTAAATACATTAAGGTTTTTTTCTAAATATTTTTTAGCATCTTTGCTCTGGAAATACTCAGTAATAGCTTTTAAAAATCACAGGATTTTTGGAGTAAAAATGTTTTGTGTCAACTGGTGTCTTTCACTGAGTGTAGACAACTGGTGGAGAAGGGATATTAAAAGAGGTAACAAAATGAAAATGTCTTTAAACTATGCTTTTAAAGGTCTCACTTAACAGATTTAGTATACTTGTAAATTTCTAGGATAAATAAAGCTGGAAAAGAGAGAGAATTCCCCTCCCATGGAAGGGGAAGACCAAAAAAAGGGTTCAGTAGGTGCTGCAAATGCTCAGCATCTCAAAAACAGGCAGCCCCTGTTAACCTGATTAACTGTTGGGTTTTGTACTCCCAAAGAGGCCCATTGGGAGTGCTGGCCACATTCTGTTAAATTCAGTTAAATGCTGTTTGGTTATAGTCTGATCTCTAATTGTGTTGAAATAGAAACTGCATTGTTCTTCCACACTATAAACTGAAGTAAAATATTTTACAGAGGAAGTTAGTTATGCAGTTTAAAGGGTTATGTCAAAGACTGTTGCAATCAATAATGCTTTAATATATTTATCAATTCCTGCATGGCTGTGCCACATGCAGCATGCTGAAAATTGGCTTTTGTAGCAGTCCAGATGGGTCTCATATCAGAATATACCAGCATTAATTTAACTGTAAATATCACACAGAAATAATATGGAATTATTACCAAAAATATTTGGGTTTGGTTGGAATAGCCTGGACTATATTGTCTCAAGAACAATCAGTGTAGATATGTGGAATTAGGGTAAGATTATATTGTCATTCAAGTCATTGAGGTACCAAACAATTCTCACTTGAGTGTGTACGTGACTTCATTGAATTTATTGAGATTGTTCACCTTTTAAAACTGAAGGCTGTGTTTAATTACCTTGCTGAATTAGACTAGTATGAAAGAAGGTAGAAACAATATGATGATGGTGATAAGAGCAACAGATGGAAAAAGAAAACCATATGGTATATAGCAGATCAAGTGTTAACTGACTTGATGACTATGCTAGTGGTGAGTCTTGATCTTTTGTAGTTCTATATAATCCTAAAATTTAGTTGTTTCGCAGATGCATGCAGATTAGTAACCTAATGCAGCATTATCTAAAAGACAAATCCATTCTCTTTCATAAGAACTTACTCTTGATTTACTCTCCCTACTTTTTCTTTGTGAATCTGATATTTATAAATAAATTCTAGTATCATGGCCAAAATATTATCTAATTTATATGTCAAAGTGTGGTCTAATTGTTGGAGAGATTCTGGAAGAATGTTGCAGCAGAGATCAAGTTTTCTGTCAGGCAAAATATATCCTTACATAGTTTGGGATGTCTGTACCATAGACATTCATTTAAGGCCTAGCATTATCCGTATATTTTAAAGAAACTACTGTAAGAAACAATACTGGTTATGAGGAATACTGGAAAATGAATGTTTCTCTTTCTCTAAATATGCAAAATATTATTTATTTCTATTTATTCCTTAGACTCATCTATTTTATTAATAATTAGGTAATGAAAATAACTTTACAGGATGAATACGATTCATTTAAAATGTCTGCTCCAAAGCTAAATGTTATTTTACAGGGAGGTTAATCTTTTCTCATTGGGATACTGAAAGCTTATGGACTGATTCATCTTAAGTAAATGTGCTATACAGTCATCAGTCAGTACACTGATTGATGCATTCTGCCTAACCACTCTTACTAGGCACAAGACTTTAAAAAAAAAAAAAAAAAAGAAGAAAAAAGGTGGAGGGGTTTGCAAATAAAAATAACACAACATTCTGTTTTGGATAGTGCATAACATTACACTTGAGGAAAAAAAAGTTAGTATGCCAGAAAGTTATAAGAAGGTGTCTTCTTTCAACTGATAAAATATTGACAGTTTTCTTTCTGATTTTAGTAGCTGGGCAAAGGTTAAATAGTGGAAGAATCATAGTAGCCTTGACTAACATGTTGAATTGGCAAACCTAGTGCAAAGAAAATGGAAATTGCCAGCTATTGGAAATAAAAACGCACTTGGAAACCAAACCCTTAAGCAGCTAGGTTTCATTCTTTTTTTTTTTTTATTTTGTAGGAATTTAAATTTTGAAATAATAGCTGATACACAGTTGCTCATTATATTCAGTGAGAAGTTAGAACATGTTCCTATCTAACTTTGCATATGAAAAAGGTTAAAAACTTCATTCTTTGGCCTGCTTAAATACAGAAAAGCAGAAATTAAATTCCATTCTTCTCCCTCCCACCACATTGAAAGAATCAAGAACTTTTTTTTTTTTGTGTGTGTGTTAATGTATTGGATACTGCTATTCTGCATCTTCTGAGTACGTAATTTTATAGCCTTTCATTGACCATTAACAAGTAAATTGTCTAAAAGACATCTTACCCTAAAGGGGGGAAAAAAAGAATGTTGACTGAATTTTGGTTACGAAAATGCATACTTGTTAGAGATTTTTATTAATTTAGTAAATTTTATGTATAATTAAAGCTTCTGTAATTTTTTTCTTTCAGTTGCTTTTGCCAAGGATAAGCTACTTGACACTGGTAACAGATAAAGTGAAGAAACACTTTCAGAAAGTTATGAGACAAGAGGAAGTTAGTGAAATATGGTTTGAATATGAAGGTACACCACTGAAATGGTGAGTTTGTTTAACTTCGTACCTTTACTCAATTTATCATGTAAAGAGTTATCAAGTTCAGCACAGTATCGGTACTTTTCCTAAACTAATCACTCCATTGGGATTTAAAGATGGCAAAAGAGGAGGAGGGTAAGAAAAGCATGTTGTTTGGGGAAAAACAGAAGAAGATTTAATGTTGAACATATTTTTGATTATTCTTTGTACTTACTATATGTATAAGGCAGAGATTGTGCTGCACCTATTGTTTCTGTTCTAGTTGTTACTGTAACACAAAATTGGCTTTACTGTTTCTTGCAGTAGAATCACCAAATATATCTTTCTTTAGCTTATTCTACCTTCTTAAAAGACACCTAATAACACAGATAGGAAGTATTGTTTCTGGAGTCTGAATGCAAATAGGATATATGCTTAAAGATAATAAAACATGTGCGTAACCTTCACTTTTCACTGGTGTGATATGTGCTTGCACTGTAAAACAGATAATCTAATACTGATGCATAGGCTTTTGTTGAATTCGATTAGTTCAGCTTATTGAACTAATTGCTGTTGATTCTATTTTTGTTCTGTTATGGTCTATTAAAAGTATCGTCCTTTTTTTCTTTTTTCTGAGAGGTTGGGGAATCAGACTGACATTGTTTCATTTACTTAGTTTTCATAAATACTGTTCATCCGATTTTGTTTCTTTCTATTTCTGCCATAGAGTTTTAAAGAAAACATTTTGACAGCTGCAATGTTTGCTAGCTCAGTATAGATAGCATCAGCTCTCCAGAAAGTATTTTGTATTTTTAATGCAGCAGAGATTTTATACCTCTTTATTTCCTGTATCATAATAGGAAAGAAAGCTACCAGTGACTGTTTTAGCTTCTTGAGCCTGGATTGTTATGTGATTAGCAAGCATCACATCATGGAGTCCCTTTAGACTTGGTGATGCAGGAGATTTCTTCTAGTCTTTTGTTTCTTTGAGACCAACCTAGTGTAAACCTTGAAAATATGTAAATAGAAAACCATAAAAACTAGCTTTTTTCACTTCTTCAAAACTGGCTGGCAAAACCAACTTTAGACATCCATTTAAATTATCTGGAATTTTAACAATAATTGGTTTCTTGGTGTGCCATAGTGACCTTGAGTCATGGATACCGTCTAAATAAACAGGAAGGTACCAAGTTTGTCCTAGTGTGTTCATAATCTTATGTAGATAATAAGAGGAAACTCTAAGTTTTCACTGAAGTTGTAACAAGAAAGGAAAGAGGCTTTTTACTTGAACCAAAAATAGATCTGTATTTTCTGTAAGTTTCCAAATACCATGATGTTTAAACTAGAACTAAAATAAAAAAAAATTATAGAATATAGGTATAGAGTAAAAATATAAATTAGAACTCTAAAATTAAGTGAAGAGTTAGTAAACTCATTGAACATTGAAATGAAAATGAACAGTGTAATTATGATCTGCTAATTAAGGCTCTGATCTTTCAGAAAATCTAAGCATATTCTGCCAGGAACAGCTCCACTGATGTCAGCAAAATTGCTTTTCTAAGGAAAATGCTGTCTGCAAACCATTATTGTAGGAGAATGGTAATCCCCTAAGTAGCTGAAGCTCGTTCCAGGGAAGACCCAAATACCAGAACTGAGAATTAGATTGAATTAGTAGCTGTAGAGAAAGGATAGTGAGCATTAATGCTTAATCTTTTTAAGTATAATTTCTGCATTCGGAATCAAATAGAACTTGCTAATAATATTGCTTATTCTAATTATTTACTTCGCACCGTGAGGTCATATTGCTTACAGTCTGTGCAGTTTCATACCTGGTTGGGATGCAGTGTATCTCTCTTCAGCTGCAGCTCTTCTGTTTTCCGGTGAGATTTTGGAGGAAGTCTGAAACATAGTTTTAACTTCATGGTCTGCAGCACTCAGGCCAGGCTCCTGGAGGAGGATGAAGCTCTCCTGGTCTGGAGTTACAGGGGCCTGGGACCTCCCTCTGAGGTTGGTGGGTCAGGGGAAGATGGTCTCCTTGCCAGCAGGAGGTGTGTGCTGGGGGAGGGTCTGTGTCACCAAGTTAAGGAGCTGCAGGAAGAGGTCATCAGACTGTACAGCATCAGAGACTACAAAAGGAAATGGATCAAATCTTCTCAGAGACCCTGCAGCTACAGGATCCTAAACCTACAACTACATTGAAGGAGATGCAGGCAGAGTCTGTGATTATTGGATTGGAAAATAGTCTCCTAAGATATGGAAGGGCTGGAAGCTTGTGACTTCTGGCAGTAGGAGGAAGGCTCCTTCTCCACCTGCATTTCTGTAACTACAGGATAGGTTCAGTGCTCTAGCTGCAGGTGAGGGACTGAAAGCTCTGTCCAATGATGCATCTGAGGTGGCTGAGCCTGAACTGTGCAGGGGCACCAGGAGGAAGTGGCGAGTGAAGTCAAAGGTCTGTATTCTGCTTACTCTCCTTTATCAGTCTCTCCAGGATCTTGAACTCTGCCATTTCATGGTCACTACAGCCAAAGCTGCCACTGATTATCACATCCAGAACTATTTTTGTCTTGTTAGTAAGTAGCAGATTCAGCTGTGGGTCAGCTCTGGTCCATCCAATGCCGGTATCAAGAAATCTTGACTACTTGTGTCCCATCATGTTGCTTTTCCAGCAGATGTCCAAGATTAACATCACACAGGGTCTGTGATGCAGAAACTTCTTGAGTTGTTTAAAGACTTTATCTACTTCCTCACCTGGATTGCGTGACCTGTAACAAACTCACCATGATGTTGCCCTTACTAGTCTCTCCTCTGATCCTGAACCACAAGATCTCAACCAGCCTGTTGTCTGTCCCATTAAGTTTCATACACCTAAGCTGCTCCCTCACATGGAAGACAACCCTCTTCCCTCATCTTGCCCTGCCTGTCTTTCCTGAGCAGCTTGCATCCATCTATCTACAACTGCATTCCAGTTGTGCAAGCTGTCTCACGATATCTCAGGTAGCCCAACACTGTCACAGTTATGTCACTGCATGTGGAGCTCTAGTTTCTCCTGCTTGTTTCCCAAGCTGTGTGCATTTATGTACATACACTTGTGGTAGACTCTCTTCTCTCTTTTATCATTTTGAGATCTCCCTTGCAGCTGTCACCTTTCACCAGTTGCTTTCCACCCATGTCCATTAATTTCTACTTGTCTGTGGGTTGTTATTCACACCCCTGTTGTTTATGGCCTAAATCTTTCCTCACCAGGCTGGCCAACCTGAAGGCAAAGATACTTTTGCCCCGCTTAGGTGGATTCCATCTCTCCCTAGCAGTCCTTTATCTCCAAAGAGTGTCCTGTGGCTGTAGAAGCCAAGTCCTTGTCACACCAGCTGCACAACCAGTTACTGGCCTGCAGTTATTGACCAGCATTCAAGCCTCTCTGAGCCTTTCTCCTTCAATGGTGAAATTGTGGAGATGCCAGCTTGCCCCTGGAGCTGTATAGTGACTCTTGATACGCTCAAGAGTTCCCTTGCAGCACTTGCAATTTGTTCCCGTGTGGCTGAACAGCAAGGGCTAATAATCGAAGCACAGGACAAACCTTGCCAGTCTGTCTGCAACTTCTTAACAAGCAGCAAACCTCCACAGGTAGCAAGTGAGATTGGCAGATGGGGGAGGGCTCTCTCCCCTGTAGGAGGGAGTTTCCTACTGCTTCCTCTTGGTGTGGATATGCTGTTCAGGCTGCTCTGATGCTTCCTTGGAAATTCCAGCCCCTTGTCTGCCACTGAGGCACTGGCTGCGGATGGAGAAGGAGCCTGCCTTCTCTTGCCAGAGGTCACAAGACTCCGGTCTTCCCCATCCTGTGAGTCTCCATTTACCACTCCAGTGACTGCAGACCCTCTTTCTGTGCAGCTGGGAGTTCAGGCTTTCATCTCTGCAAGGTCTCTGTGAAGATGCCATCAATCTTTTTATCTTCCCTGATGCTGTGCAGCCCACTGACCTGCAGCTCCTTAACTTGGTGATACAGCTCCTCCACTAACATGCACCTCCTCTAGACAAGGACATGTCCTCTGCTCGCCCCAGCCCTTAGGAGAGGTCCCAAGCTCTCCTGGCAGCTTGAGACCTGGAGAGCTGCATCCTCTCTCAGGAGCTCTGCCGGAGTGAAGGCCTCTGATGTGCCAGGGGTGGTTTCTTCAGCAGATGCTAGGGGATGACACCCTATAGCTTGTTACCATCCTATGTGAGCACTTGCACATGGCCTTCAGCAGAGTTTCCGTCCCCTTTCTGTGGATTGTGCTCTAGCCCTGGTAGTTGCATAGGTGTCTCTCTAGTACCAACGAGATGGATGCTTGACCCTTCCTAATCAGGAGTCAGTGGAAAACAAAAGGTCAAAGCACCATTTGATCAGGCATAGCTGACATATTGTTTGAAAATGCTAGTGTTTGCTTAAAAGATCTAAGAAAAATTTATTTCTTACTGAATACTAAATGAAAAGGTGAGGCTGTTTTCCAATGCGGCCAAAATTTCCCTCAATGAGACGTTTGTTCATAGAAATACCTAAACACCAGATTTTGGCCACTTGATACACTTAAGTACCCCAGACAGTTCTGGAGCATTTTTTATGTCCTGGATTTATCAGTTCATGTGACATGTCTTACTGAATTACCACAGTAAATTATTCTGGTCTGAAAACAACCTACCAAATCATGCTGTCACTTTCTGTCCTGGGTTCAGAAAGAAATTGTTAGGAAAAGTAGTAATTAATTTTCCTTACTGTCCATCTGTCACTTCCGAAAGGATTTTAAGTACTTAACGTGGTGTTTTCCAGGACTTTTCTCACACTCTGAAACCACCTTCTGTATAGTAATAAAAGCAGTAATAAACTGACAATGGCTGGAAGTCAAGGTGCTTTTACACTTCTGTAGATTGAAGACTTTCCAGAACCAATCATTATTCTAGCAACTTGTAAAAAAAGATTTGTGGTCTCTTAGACATTTTCTCTTTGATTTCCCCCCCCCCCCCCCCCCCCCCCCCCCCCATCT